TTTTTTTTTTTTTCAAAAAAGTTTTTATACTGCCAAGAATTTTCTTTAGTACAAACATGACTGTCAACGGTAGTGAAAGGTTGTTAAACACATACCAACAGACATTCAACTCCCTTTTCTCCATTTTGTTGTTTCAGTGCTTGTTTGCCCCATTATAATGAGATATCAGGAAATAATGTATTTTAGAATGGTAATTTTTGAGAGAATGTGTAGTTAAAAAAGAAAGAAGCATTTTTTATTTATGTGTAATATTATTTTATTGGAAAATATGTGATTATAAAGAAGAAAGAAAAAAAATTGCATTAAAATTTTAATGAGGGCCAATCAGAGACTCAATTTGCAATTCTTTTATTTAACTCCAATGAAATAAATAAATAAAATAAAATTTGCACGAACGTAAAGTTCTGTAAACACTCCAAAAAAGCAGAAAAAAAATTTGGGTTACATGTAAAATATTTTATTGGGAGAATATATGTTAAAAATGAATTCGAAAAAAAATAAGTTTTTAGATAATAAGACTCAAATAAGAACTTCTGGATGAATGCGTTCACTTCTGTGTCTTTGACTTTGTTCATGGCTTGAGGCCTCACTCGGAATGTAACTATTTTTTTGTATATCTTGGCAATTGTATCATGCTCACTGTAAGGTAGTTTTCGAGTCAATATATCTAGTAAACACATCCCGAATGGATATATATCAATCTAATCCGTGTAAATTCTCGTCCTATAACTTTGTTGCCATGAATTCAAGTGTCTCGAGTAGTGAATGTGCTGCGTGGCTCGTCCCAACCATTGTTCCCAAACCAAATCCACCAATTTTCACCTATTCAGACCGAACATAATAAAATTAAAACAAAGCACTTTGAAATGAAGGACAACTATTATATCTCATTTTTATTTGTGTTTATATTTTATTTAAAAATTTAAAATATGAGAAGCAAATAAATTGTGAACAATGTTTAGTTTGCGCTTAAAAGAAACTTTATTTTAAGTTAATTATTTTAAAATTTTCTTTTTTTTTCGTTAATAAAAGTAAGTCTTAACAGTCAACCATGGTCTTGATAAGAAAAGATTGCTGTCTGTAGACTTGAATTGGAGCTACAAATGACGTCCCAACAGAACAGTACCCCAGACGTCGAAACAAGATAAGATGAATTCAAGGCAATTGTTAGGGTTTCAGAGTATATTCTTCTCTGTCTTCCCCTTCCTTAAATCCAAACATAGTAATTAATGGCAGTTTTCTCGCTCTTTGCTACCACATTCAATCTCTCACACTATCACACTCCTTACAATTTCTTCACTTCACTGCAAAATTTCTGTGGGGATTCATTCTTCAATTTAAAGGCTAAAGGAAGAATTATCAGAATATGTTGTACGAAGGTTCGAGTTGTGTCGTCGCATTCCAACCCCAAAATTCTGAAGCGCAATTGTAAATCCAGGTTTGGACTGCCGGTGTCTCCTTACGACAGTGAAGACGAAGAACAAGATGATGATGATGATGAAGACAGTGGTGGTGACGATTGGATTTCTGATGTGAGTTTCTTTCTTTATTTTTCTTTTCAAATTTGATTTATTTTTTATTTCTAATGATATTTATGCTACTTTTAGCTCAGAAGAAAGAAATAAAATGGGTTTCTACAAGACATTGTATTTGTTATTCTGTAGGCAAATAAGCATTTTCAGCTAAGATGTTGGATTATTGTAAAAAGAAAAATAAACAGATGCAAAATTGCAAGTCTAAAATAGCAATGTTTACTTGATAGTGTGCACTCACCAAATCGCAAATTGAAGAGGATATTCAATGTTCCGCCGTCTGTTAGTGTAAATTATGTATATGTGGTTTGAAAGATGGACTTGCTTGAACATTAGGACAACTGTGGAATCTCTTTTAAATAAAGTGATTATTGGATTAACTTTGGCATGTAGTGTAGGTAAGTGTAATTGATTTTTATATATTGGTATCTCGAATGCAGTTTTGATAATTGTACATGTTAAATCCACTTGTAAATTTTAGGGAAAAGAGAGTTGTTATCAGTTTATGTTTCCATGGTATCGTTGACGTTCTGTAGAACTTGACATTATAGGGTCTTTTATATCAATCCTTTAAAAATGATATTTTATGGCCTCCAAATTACTGGTGCCATTGTAATTTTGTCAATGGAAATCTGTGGCAGTTACTAGTCAGTCAGATACTGATGCAACGATAATAATTCCACAATGAATTCAACTTGATATAGTTTATTTGTTTGCCACTGTCTGATAGTCCTTTTTTTGGTTTGGGATACAAGATGAGTTTGCAGACATCAAAATTTCTGAAGTTGATCGACAGAGGTTAAATATACAGAATTCAACCAAGATGAAACAAGGTATTTGTAATTCTTTGGGTATGATCAAAGCATTGGAGGAGTTATGTGAGGAATGTAAAGTCGTGGTTCACATTCCGCGCTTTATTACTAGAGAAGGGGCTTTATGTTGACAATGTGGTCCTATTCAACTAAACCACGTGGGATTCTCTTGCATTTACCATTAACTAGATTTCGGGGGACAGTTGAAACAGTCTCACTCATTTTTCTTGATCTTCTTCTCTCGCGATATTGTCTGATTAGGTTTTTCAGTCTTTTTTTTTGTTTGAAGTTACTGTTGATATCTCATTTCTTAGAGGTTTTCTGGTCTATGCTGTTTGGTCTAGCTGATAGACTTAAAGGCTTAGTCCATAGTGTTTTGGACTAAATGAGTGTTGTATATTAGGTTTGAGAGGGTTATGATGTTGTATCATAGTGAATACTTGTGATCTTGGTGTTGCTGTTGTTGCAAGACTGTGACTTGTTTCTAGTACTGAGGTTTGGGCTTTCGCTGAATCCTGCAGACTAGGTCCATTTGAACTGAACTTTGTTACCATTTCTGGTGTTATGTGTTATGATTTTTGCAGTGCTTGTACAAATTTAGTGATTTCGTGGTGCTTGGATCCTATACAGAAATATTAATCGATTTAAGGTAAATCTCATTGTGCAGGCAGTCACAGGCATCTGGAGAGAGGTGGAGGTGCAAGCTCATTAAATTCTGGACAAAACCTTGAAACAAGGCTACAAAAGTTGGGTACAAAGAATGGCAAAGATATCTTAAAAGAGAGAGAGGGAGAGAGGCATTTCATATAATACTTCCAGGCAATCAGCAAGCATTGCCTTTTTAGGCGATAGCAGAGAAAAGGTAACAATCATCACAACCATTAAAATATGACTTTGAGTGGTAATGACCGCCATAATGTTTGTTGTTTTATCTGATTGTTCCAGAAAGCAGAAAGTTCTCAGAAAAGATTCTCTCGTTTGTCAGAAGAACTAGACATAGACGAAAGGTGGTTTCCACTTCTTGATTATTTGAGCACTTTTGGTCTTAAGGAATCACACTTTATTCAAATGTATGAAAGACATGCCATCCCTTCAGATAAATGTTGACTGTGTAGAGGAAAGATTGGGATATTTGTTAAGTGTCGGCGTCAAACATAAAGAAATCAGAAAAAGAATTTTGAGATAGCCTCAAATTTTGGGTTACACCATCGAAAACAATCTGAAGTCCCATGTTGCCTTTTTGGGAAGCTTATGTTAGGAATATTGGACCTAACTCCACCTAGTAAAATCGGCTTATTAGGGGAGGATTGTCCTCACCTTATTAAGTGGATCATTTATATTTTTTCAAGTAATGTGAGATTCTAATACGCCCCCTCACGCACAGCGTAGCCCATGCCATACAACTGTGAACAAATCGATATTGGGTGGCACTCAACATTACATAATTGGGCCTAACTCTGATATCA